GGTGCCGCGGTCGCAGCTCTGAATCTGCATTACTGGTCAGTGGTCATCTGCAACAAGTATCTGATATATCATTGATGCTATATATCAATAGCAAAGTACAAAGCCGTTGCAAAATTTGTGAATTTCTGATTGCGACTCCACTATGGTGATTTCGAAAGGTCATTAAGTCAATGCGTAGTTTTGCGAATTTGAATCAATTTCAATTGCATATGCTCATGTGCATCAACTTACTTACTTGTCTTCCACGTCATGTTACATACCAATCAAAAGCTCTCTGCAAGTAGAGAACAATTTTAATTTTATTTCATTATTAAATCTCGGTGGTGTCACTAAATCAACTCGCAGCCATTTAGTCATTTATCTAATTGGCAGTGGTATCTGAATCAATCATACGAATTTGATGCCCTTTCACAGATCGATAAAAAGCTCTCTGTGAGCACAATATAAAACTTTTTTTTACATTTGTCAATTTGAATTCATATTGTGCTTTGTCTGACGACTGCGCGAACTCTAGTTCTTAAATCGATGATGGTTCACGTATTCCAATGGAATCTTCAAACGCCCATTTCTATCCCGTTTGCTACCAATTTCATCATGTTCCATATTTATGAAAGCTCTCTGCATAATATGCAAATTTTCTTAGTATAAATGAACTTTATTACTGGGATTAGACTATCGTGCTTATTGCAACTGGCAGTGTTTTTCCTTTGTCTCAAATTTCCTAGGCTTTTGTACGGTTTTTGTGGTTTGCACGGTTCTTGTTATGGTCACATATGCGACTTCGATTCTTCTCTCACTTCTCTTTGTATCTTCATCTAGGCATATTTGCAGCGCTTTCTTAGTGTCCATGTGCAAACGCTCGAAACTTCAAAGTAAATGTCGTTCATAAGAACCAACTCGAAAAGACCTCGGAAGGCCCGCGGATCTAAAACCGGCTGATGAGCTGCGCTGAAGAAGAGGCCAGTCGACAAATTCTCATTTCCATCCGTCGTTTGTTTCGATTTTAGCTCTCTTACGAGCAAATCTGATGAACTCAGATTCCTCATTGGCCACAGTTATCAAAATCATGTGCAATTTTATGTCAAGAGACTTGGCTTAACGAAGGCATTGACGACCAGCTTACGGATCTGTCAGGATTCACAACTTTTCAGCTTCATCGAATTGCTACTCGTGATGGCGGTCTTGTCGCGTGGATCAGTGACACCAGACGTGCGAACCCTCGAGTGATTTCCTCGCATATGCCTCAGGGAATCGAGTGCCTTGTTATCACTTGTAGGCCGAGATTTCTTGTTTCCCCAGCGTTTCCGGGCAGTATTGTTGCACAAAGTGTATACAGCTCTCAGAGTTGTCCTCCAGAGTCCTTGTATAGTTTTCAAGACATTTTCACTTCACGCTTCGCCTGTTCACCGGCTGATAAATTTACGGTAGTCACGCAAGACTAATCGTCATAGCCACAGATTATCGGAGCATATTGGTTTAACTATACTCTAAACTTTCAATACTCGTCCAAAGAGCATACTGGAGGGTATTTTCATGAACATAAGCAACAATTATCATGTACGGCAACTTTTCCTGTTATCTGACTCAGACCACTGCATAATTTATGCAAACTCAAAGATCTCTTTCCTCTGTTTCCTAGCCGTGTGCTACGACGTCCTCGTCCTGAAGAAATCTGTGCAATAAATATGCGTTCAGTTTTAGAAACAACCGACTGGTCAGTCTAAAAAGTCGATAATTTTCATCAGTGGGTGGACGCGATTAATTTCTACATCATTTTTGTGTACAATAACTGTAGTTCACTTGAAAAAGTATTTATCAGTCAGTGGTGCATCCCTTCAAGACTCCTCATTCGCTTTCTCTAAGGGAAAGTAAAGCTGTACAAATGACACAACTTTGCCGCATGTCGTCACCTCCAAACGTTAATTAAAAGTGAAATCAATCACCTCAACAAAGCATTTGCTGTGAAACTTCTCACTCAGTCCCCGGAGAGCAGTTCTGCTAAGGCATTAAACAACTGTGCAGCAATAAATTGTCGACTCTTCGTTTTTCGATCAAGCTGGAGGCACTGAACCAATTCTTCTTGAGGTACGAATTTGAAGGCTTCTGTGACTCGTCGAAGAACCAGGGTCCAGATGTGTCATGCGCCGATTTACGAGTACCGATGCATTCAATTCTTCCCAACACCTTTGTATCGATATCTCATGCGGTACTGACACAGTGTGTCTGTTTGCGCTAAAATCACGCGTTTGGGAACTCTCGTATATCCATTATCAGATCTTTAATCTTTTTGTTTCCCTTCGGGTAGTTCTTGATTATTGGAAGCTTGCTAAAATTGTCCCTCTGCCGAAGAACAAGGCTAGCTTAAGAAACTTTAGCGACTTCCATTCTACAGCCGTCTCATTCATTCTTCTAAAATCCCAAAAACTTGTTATTCTTCTTCACCTAGAGAGAGTAATACAAATACTTCTAGAATCCTTCAAATTTGCATAGAGGAAAGATTTATGCACGTAAGACGCCATGGCCAGTTATGTTATGTTAAACACGTCACTTAGCATTTCAACAAGGTGAAAATATTAGACCGTAGCCTTTATCTACATTTTAGTTCTGAATTTATCACTATCTCACGATCCAAGCTTTATAATAAGCTGGCTCTAACTAAATTAGTTAGGAGCTGACAAAATGACTTTACCAACAGAAAACAGTTTGTGGCTATCGGATCTCGTAGGTCCAGTTTTCAAAAAATCGCTCTGGCATGCTTCAAGTTGCCGTATTACCTCTCCTTCTCTTCATCTACACTGGCGACCAAATTCTCGTCGCATCCTCATGCCTTATCGAATATACAGATGACACAACAATCATCACAGCCGTTACTAATATCTTTCTATTTCACACTCGCCAAACTAACCTGTCAAGCCTGGTTAGAGGTCCGTTTGATAACTCACTAGAATTTAAAGTAATATCGTCTAATTAAATATCGTTGCGGAACCATGAGTAACATGCTTGCAAAACAGAAAAATACTTCGGTACAGTTCAGCATTCGATCTTACCTCGGATATCGCTCGAAGACAGTCGTCCACGTACATCATTGGTAAACGAGTTTCAGCTTTCAGCGGACACACATGAACACCGGAATCGGCAGCATCATGGAAAATTTGCACCGCATAATCTGAAAGCAAACAAAGGTTTATGAACTCAGTTAATTATACAACTGCACTAGAATTTAGAATATAGTCTGGAATCATCAGAGCCAGAAGCTTGATGAGTCAACAGAACTCAAACTTACGTACCCGCTAGTTTTCGTTATTGCTCGGAAAGGAAGAAATAAATGAAAATTTCTGTCGATGGACTTCGAATGACCAAGTATAATCCTCACCAGAAAGCCCATTCGATTTGATCAGGGGCCATAGAAATTCACTTAGCACCGTCCTTTACCATTACTAAGTGCAACACGTGAAGAAATTACCTGGCCTCATTTCATTAAGCGATATAAAACCATTTGTATGATAAATAAGGATTTACAGATTCTGGTAATCAGTCATGTTTCTACTACTGTTGTTAGGAGCAAATTGCAAATGTTGTATGTAGCAGTTCAACTAAGGGCTCAAGTTTATAAAGATCTGAACATTATAAACATTACCATCTGGTTCTTTTACACGTAACATTATCGTCGTCCAATAAACTGACCATGGCACATCGGCTAGACTCGCGCAATTAATGACGCCGCGCTTTTCATTGGTTCAAAGTGACAATTCTGAGTTTTCGATGGGTATACGGATTAGCAGCACCTCCTTGACTTTGCGGCAGAGATATATCTGCCGCCCATTATTTACTGTAACGGTTTTAAAAATAATTTAATTTAATCTCTGAATTAACTCCGCCATGGCCGATCCCAAGCCCGGATGAGAAAGGAGGAGGGTTGGAGACCGTGGCAAGTCTCC